AACATTTCGATATCACTACGTCATGTCGTGTTAAATACCTAAGATAAAGAAATACCATACCAGTTAAATACTAAAGTGTTCCAAACTGAGAAGCAACATCTTATTCTCTTATTATTGTATCAATACACATTGCCTTGAACTTCACAAAGCCTTGAAATTGTCTGTTCTCAATATTTTTTTATAACACAATCAATTTCAAAGTGTGGGCAAAGCGCATGCGACTCCCTAAGAATTGGAAACGTCCGTAGGTTACGGTAACTTACCAAAAGGAAGGCAATAAGTTGTTTGCCATCATCGTGGTAAAAAGAAAATTATTCAGTTATTTCATTATTCTTTATTGGAAGACTGTTTGTCAAACCTTGGCATTGAGCCAGAAAATTGTATAATATTTTAAGCAATTCTGCACCGCCGAGTTGGCTGGACTTGAATCATTTCAAATTCGAATAAATCTGAAAGATTCGTTGAAACTTTCTATAATTCTAGAATTTATTGATCATGAAATTAAACTAAAATTTATTAAATTAAAATTCAGTTTTCAGAATTCTTTTTTTCATTTTATTGTCAAGTATAACTTGAAAAACAATATTATTTGCTGGATCCGTGTTGTTTCATGTAGTTTTTTGTTTATTTATTTAATTTGTGACACATTTTGTTTTAGAATTTACGTACATAAAGTTCTTTCTTGCAGTTGCATGATATGCTAACAAAAAATTATTTTTCAAGTAATAATTTGTAGATGTAAATAAAATTAGAATAATGTAAATTAAATGTAAACTAGAATAATTTAAATAATTAAATATGAATTTAATTTAAAACAACTAGAACAAAGTTTGCAATTGTTTGTAAATCAAATGTCTGAGACATGCCTTATCGTTACGTATAATACTATGTTTATTGAATGTCTGGGCTGTTTCCTACGTCTATTATACAAATTATAGTTTTTATATTTATTGCAGGTACATAAACAGCTTAATCTATTCTAAAGATATTGAATAAACTGCAAAACCCCAAATTCTATGTGTAACGAAAACGAAATTATCATCATACTTCCAAACTCTTGCCTAGTTTCTAAATCTGATAAACTTTTAAGTTATGAAGAGGCACAAATTCTGTGCCTACTTGTGTACAGAATATCACCTGTGGGTAGTATCCTAGGGGATTTCACAAAAGTGCACCTAGTAGTTTGCCAGATTTGGCAAACAGTAACACGTTACACTAGCAAAGACTTAATTATCATGGAAATCATAAAGAGCACGAATAAAGATTTTGCATGCATATTTAGCAGAAATTATAGGCTAACAATCTGGTTACTTGAAAGCCAGCTAAGTTAATGCGTTTTTTTTTTTGGTTGCGGTAATGTTAATTCAGCAGAATCTTATGTTCGTGAATAACTATACACATTTACACAACATAGGGCTCTAATTATCTGTGTCATTCAAACCCTTAAAAGCAGACATTTAGCTGGCTTAACGCCCACATATTCACATAGAACGTTTTGCAAACATGTTTTCAAATTTTAACTCATGAAATATAAAGACTTTAGATAAAATGTCTTGTGAATACATATTTTCCAAACTTTCTAATAGATTACGTAAAGCCAATCCTCGGTTCGGACAAAGATATTCTTGAATGGATAACCTATATATCTGTGCTGTCAGATTTAAATCCTTATCATATTAACTATCTTCCTCCAACTATAGATTCGATTCTCAGAGAAAATTCGTGTTCGGCATTTGCTTCAGGTTCGATTGTTTTATGACTTCGTTGAACACATTTTTATTACCCTTTCCTTTAGGTGAAGTTAAAATAAAATAAGCTTCAGTGAATATACATATTTATCACATGTATGCATATCAATAAGTTTTGAAAACTAATCCATTTCTCACTTGTTAGTAATCTCATATCTATAACCTGTCTAAAATCTATAAAAAATGTAAATAATCATCCTGCTTAAAAAAATGATAGTCATCTAATTTGAAGGAAAAAGTAGTGTTTTTTTTTATGGTCTACAACAGACGGATCACCTGATGGTAAGTGACTACTGCCACCCATGGACACCTGCAAGTTAAGAGTGCGTTGATTCATGACAAAAAAAATAATAATAATTTCATGCCTAATTTATCAGAATTAAAGCTAATACGTATTCTTTACATCAAAAGGGATCGAGTATTATAAAGTTATTGAATTTGTTTCATATTCGGCAAAGATATCGAGTAAAAGTTGACTTAAATATGTACTTCTTAGTTTTTCATCTAATATTAAGTTAAAAATAAATAAATAATTTATATAAGTTCATATTTTTTTGTTGCAATTTATTGGTAATTTTGCAATTAATCTAAGTCATCATCATGAGCAGCCTTTATTAGCCCACTGCTGGACATAGGCCTCTCCTTAGAAAGGAGGTTTGGCCTACTCTACAACGCTGGCCAGACGGGGTGGTATAGAGTTTGTTTCAAGTTTTTCTTCTTTTTGCAGTGCTGTTGTCCTGCGTAGTTTGCTTTTACCATCTTTCCTGATACACGATCATTAGCAAACTTCACCAAATACATTGCGATGATCAAAAATTGCTTATAAACTCATCATCATCAACAGCCTATAACAGTCCACTGCTGGACAAAGGTCTCTCCTTAGGAAGGAGGTTTTGGCCTACTATACCACGATGGTCAGACGGGTTGATATAGGTTTTGGTTCAAGTTTTCCTTAGCTTATAAACTATTTTAAAGTAATCAAATAGCAACTTATTATTGAATAGTTCCGGTGGCGGTTGGACATCTGTGGTCCAGTTTCAGTTCTCCAAACAGTGATTTTCGAGAGCAATAAATATAAATAAAACATGTATATTTTGGTGACTTTTTGCTTTTTTTAAATGAAGTTTAAAAACAATTTTGTATTTATCCAACCTCTCATTTTCTTATATATTTTGTCATAACCAGTTTACACTATAAGTTCGGTTTATTCTCGTTTATTCGGTTCTTGTTTGAAATCCCTCAGTGAGCTCGTTGCACAAAACAGATTAAATATGCATACGATTCCATATTACTGAACCAACTTTGTATTGTTTCTACAAAGTACATCACGAGGGAAAAGTAACTTTATCTTTGCAATATCCGAGCCAGAAGCAAAAGCTCTGTATTTAGATAATGAGTGTAACTGTTTTAAACTAATTTGTTTCACGTACTCCAAGAAAGTAAGTGAATTAAATAGTTTTAAACTGTAATACAAACGTTCGAGTTTTTCATACCTACGATTCTTTAGAAAAAGTCGCTACACGTATATTGTACCATGCTGTACCTGCTATGAATCTTTATCATTGTGCCTTGAAGATTTTTACACAGGTGAGTCCGTGAGTCATGTAGGTATACTTTTTACATGATGGCAAAAAGGTTGTCCACTCTATGCCCCTGTTCTCATGGAGATCCTTACCCTTCCTTTTACTCAATAGCAATAAAATTACACTGGACTATAGTATAAAATACACCCCTTTATGCACTTTCTACACAAGGATCAAAGGTAACACACTGATAAAAAATTGTATGTCTACAGTAGTAAATAAGAAAAAGAAAACAATTGAATAACGATGACAAAAATATATTTACTCCTTCTCAATTTTTGTTATTAATTGTTATTTTGCTATTAATCAAGTAGTGGTATTAGTAGTAATCATAATAGTCACTACAAAATAATTAAACGTTAAAAGTGGACAGTCCATATTATACTAATACAATATTATAAATGCGAAAGTGTGTCTTCACACGGGTCAATATACGTCGGTTAAAATAAAAAATAAAAAAATTAGTACGAAAATACAGAAATGCAAATTTAGAACAAAATAAATATAATAAAACAATTGCCGAATTTTAACACCATTGTTAACATGAGTCGGTGAACTGTACACGGCAGTGTCGCAATATCGGCGACATCAAAGCGACGCCGCCGCCGAGACGAGCTGGCGAACTTTACATTCTTATTACCTACCTACTAATCACTTTACTTGCTTTTTAAAATCTATTTATTAAAAATACGATTTCATTTACGTGTTTATTTTGGGAATGCTCGACTAGCTTCGGACCCGGCAGTATGTGTCACTCCTTGAAAAAGTAGGTACTTTGGTTGTCTCGTAATCTTTGTACCGCCCTTACAAAAATTCGACAGTCCGTAGGACATACACGATTGATTTTTGATAGAGTTCCCCGTAAATTAACATCATGTCAGGATATCCCGTGGATGTGAAGGTCACTTACAGCATTATGGATGATAACCCAATAAAATAAAAAAGACTGATAATTCACTCAGTTTCACACTACACTACACACAGAACCTAATATTGACACTTTTCAAAATAAAATTAGCGGGACTCGTTACAACACAGTCTTGCGCACACGGTTACATTATTTTTCGTGAGCGCATCTACAAGGACACAGAACAGCATAACACTCGCCGATGGCCAAGGACCGACTGACTGGACTTACTGGATGAACTAATTAAAAACGCGTGTCCTTCATCCTGATGCCGCAATAATCAACAAATTTCATTCGATTCGAGTGTAGTAAAAGCGGCAACGTGTGATTACCGCACCGCGTATACAGCTGATCGCGGCCTGAGGTCAATGTATTATGACTGCATTTACACATGATGTTGCAAATTAGGAAAACAAAAAAATGTCCTGTTTCTAAACCACTGAATATTTTGCGTTCATATTTTGTAAATCGTCTAGAAATAAAGTGCAGAATAAGCTGTTTGCAGATTCGTTAAAAGGTAGATCAGTCTGTATTTGTTTGTTTAACTTTTCATAAAGTAAGTGTGTTTGTTAAGTTTTAAAAATTTTGCCAACACAGCTGTCTAGATCTGGACGATCTGGACGGCTAATATTAATCCCGGCCAAAATTTATTGACAAAATTGACATTTATGCGAGCGAAGCCACGGGGAAAAGCTATTTTTACTATATTATTACAGTAAGATAAATGTCGTGATGATAACTTTATTGCCTAATAGGTAAGAGCTAAAATGCACTTGTAAGGTGTACAAACTGACCTGATATATTAAACCTCTCTTCATCATAGTAGTCAAGCCTGTGGTTGATCTCATCATCATCGTCTGGCAACACCGGCTCGTCGGGCAGCTCGTCAGGGCGGCGTCGCGTCGCGTTCGGCGCCGCGCTCACGGCTAGCAACACCACCGCCAACGGCACCACCATCTCCATAGCGACATCACCGCGCACACACCTAGCTGCGCTGCAAAACATACACCCTAGTTTTAGTATAGGTCACCGAAAAACAAAAAATAAATTAAAATGAAATAAGTACATGGTGCCTGTGACGTGGCAGTAATGCATTAGACTAGATTATTTTATTCCGGCTCAATGTAAACATTTGTATGGATGAATATCCTTATATACATGCATAGAAATATCATAAACAGAACAATGTAAAATGTTCTGGGTGTTTGTAATTCAATATTTATATATACCCATGCAAAATGTATTTGTAGCTCTATTTACCCTTGCTCTATAGCCAATGGTGCTGTGCTTAAAGTCGATTTAAAAGTGTAATTCTTTACTAAATGTCCTATTTCATTATTCTTATTTTTAAATTACTGTAAACTAGTCGACTTTATGGACTCCGACGTGTTCGAGAACACATCACTAACACTGACGCCTGCATTCCCGAAGGAATGGCCTAAAGTAATCGAACTACAATAGCAAAGAGTTGAATTAATGTAAAAGACAAGAAAAGTCTTCCATCTGGTGGATTTATTATATATTAATAAATTGTATCACTTTGTTTTGCTTGTATTCTACATTGTATGTTTCCTAATCATGGTGTGCAATAAAGAGTGCCTATCTAACCTATCTATCTAAATGACACCTCACAGTATAAATTAAAATACCCACAAATAATTTGCAGAAATAGTTAATTTTGAAAAGATATTTTTTTAGTCCGCCTGAGACCACGGCCAGTGGGACTGCTCTGCTATTTTGCTATTTTATGTTAACGTATAAGTCACTGTCATTCCAGTGACACGCTTTTGAGATGCCATTGACATCGGTCAAAATATCGGTATTCTACTAATATTAATTCAAAGTGTCAATAAATTGTCGATGTAGTGAAAATGGTTCAATAATATCAACAACATTGCCATATCTTGCAAGTTAAATATATCATTTAGTACAAGTGGCGGCCTTATCGCTCAGAGGCAATCTCTTATAGGCAACCGTGGCATGGAGAGAAAACATGAAGGTGAGAAGGTAGTGAGAATTGGGTAGTGGCTGGTGTATTAGGAAATAGAAAAGAAGATGAAATATTTTATATTATTTAATATTACTATAAAAATGGATAATTACACATAGTATCTATTTGTTGGACTTAGGTGAATATATAACATACTAGAGGGAATATACTATGTGCTGAACACGGCTGGTGGTGTTATTAGATACATATAATTAAATAAATACGTGTGATTTATAAGTTCTAAATACATATATTATAAGAAATAATGTGAGTCGACAAACTTAGTAGAAGTTAATTGATATTGACGTCTCCCAGGTAGTATTCATTTACTTGTTTCATGAAGGAGGCAAGTGTTTGTGCACGTTTGATTGCGACCGGTAGTGCGTTCCACAACCAACCTCTTGGACAGAGAAGGAGACATCAAGAAATTTAGTGAAATGTCCCGGCATTTTTGCAAAGCATCCACATCCATGACCTTGAAGTACCGGTGCAGGATAATTTTCGATTTAGGTTTAAGAGGTCAGAGACGATAGGCAAGATATAGTAAATCATTGTAAGAAAACTCGTTAGAAGAGTACTGGCCGTGTTTAGCTGCAAGTTTAGGGGAGGAAACAAGGATAAGGTCTAGCAGAGAAGTAGCAGAGTGTGGACAATAGTGCGTTGCATTGGAAGGAAGGATAGATAAATTGCTGGATTGGATGATAGATTGAAGCGTCGATGAACGAGAATCATTTTTAAGGAGGCAGGTATTGAAATCCCCTATGATTATGGAATGACTCTGCAAAGGAGTAAGTTGTTCTAGGAGCAGCTCAACCGATGACAAAAAGTCTAATGCGTAAGGATGGGCAATAGAAGACGCCAAGAAGGATTTGAGATTGAAGGACTTCAACTTCCAGGAAAAGATGTTCACCCGCATTCGTTGGAGGGGGCTGCCACTAAGTTTATTATTGGTAACTAGCTATTGCCCGAGGATTCGCTTTCGTGATTATTTCTGTGTTTCTGACTATGAAAATGACAAACTTTTAGACAACCATTCATTTCTTTTTCAACGTAGGTGTGAAATTGCCAGAAAATTTTCTTAGTAGGTTCTTACGACATAAAAAGCATTAGCTGCCGAAAACTTCAAGTTTGTGGATCAATTTTCAAATTTCAAGTAGTGTAGGTGAAATTGTGTGCCTAATTTATATATCTTCTTTATTATCTATCTCTCGAGTAGAATCATGTCACTTCACAAATACCAAACTTAACCGATATCTACCGACGTTGTTAGCTGAAACGCCCTCGAACTAGCTACCTACTTGTAGTTTCAGATCTCGATATTCCAATATATTTGCAAGCTCTGTAATTAAATTTAAAGAAAAAAAAAGGGTTCTGAAGCACCAAGAAACAAGAATGATTTGTAAAAACCACTAAGATTAGTCTTGAAACAAACATATTTCTAAAATTAGTTTAACAAAGATGCACAATAGGTATACAATAACGTCGATAATGTATTTTATGTTATTCTGTTAATGATTGTATGTACTTCTTAGGTAGATACGAAAATAAGAGTTGTCACAGGAATTGCGAAAAACAATTACGGAACGACGATCCTTGTGTAAATACATCTCATCATGATTCCAGATCCAGCGGACGGTTACTTACAAGGCCAATGCAAAGAAAAAACCACCACGCCACCGAATACATGCCCATCACTGCATGCCTTAGTTCCTGGCATTAGTATAATGACATATCACGCTGCCACGACCTAGCGTATATTAACATCACAAAATTGCAATGTGCCAGAATTCCAAACGGTCGAGAAAATTTCCCTACGCTTGAACTAGTGGTATGATTCACGACATTTCACACCGACAGTATTTTGTATGTACAATGAATCTAAAAATGATTTTAGTTTTAACAATAAATTTTAATAAGTAAGTGCTAAAATTTTAATAAGTACACAAATTATAATGTAATGTTCATGTAAATGTGACATACCTTCTCATTTGACACGCATCACAGTAACAGAACGATTGTTATTACTTGAAATGTCACGATAACGTTTAATTCAACAGGTTGGCGTGTTAAATATCTTCAGAAGTATTTTTTGGTGAGTTTATATTTTTTAATAAATGGAGCCAATATTTTGAGTAGAAAAATTGAGGTTTTGTGTGAGAACTGGTGCGAAAACTTATGCTACCCATGATAGTTTGCAGTACTAGTAATGCTCTAAATCTTTCAGTATATCCTGTAAAACCTATTTGAATATAATCTGGGGCACGGCAGTGCCCGCCAAGATAACTAGCCAAGCGCAGCCCAAGGGTACTACTACATAATTTTTAATGCTTAATCGTTTTTTTAACCCTCATAATTTGGGCTTAGATTATAAGAGATAAACCAAATTCTAGGGATATGATGTCAATTAGTAGACTTATTAAACACATAAGGTTTCAATTTCATAGCTCTTATACTTTAGATTTTCTTGATAGCATACCTTAGTCAAAATATGTGGCTTGGCCATTTCGTTACCGTCACATGACCGTAAGGTGAAAAATTGATTCACTGTTCATTACTTTTCTGTTGTACAATAGTTCTTATAGAAACAAAGAGTAGAGTCTTAAATGTGCCTAGAAAACATCTCTTAACCGTAGATACTTAAACTATAACTGAAGCCGCTCAGCTTAAAAATCAGGATTAGTCCATCCTGTATTATAATATAAAGCTGTAAATATTTTTTATTAGGGTCAAAGGAAATAAATAAAATACACAACTAAAAAATATCAAATGAATTCGTATGAACAAAAGGCATCCTAGCACAACTTTATAGGTCAACTTATTATATCTCTTTACTTAACTTCTTGACTGGAAAAAAATATAATAAATAGACATTATTGAAGATTTACATATATCCAGATTAGGTACCAATTTGGCACGATCAACGCTAATTCAACCAAAATTATACTTTACTTCAAAGACTAAGTGTTTATCAACTGAATATATATTGTCATTAAACGCAAACAAGAGTTAAACCCGAGAACCCGACCCGATTGGAATTAGTCCTTTTTTGAAAATTCGATATCGACGGCAAAGGAAGTAGTTTAGTATAACCCCATAAAGGGATCTGAAAGTGTAAGCCGTAACATTGTTGCACTAGCCGAAAGCAGTAAAAGATTTTCGTTGATCGTATTCATTTCTTTTAAATGGATTTATAAGAATTATTTTGTGTATCTGTTAAAATTCGGTTACTATACTTAGCGGATATGGAGAATAGAATTTATGTGTAATATATGACTTCGAGAATAAAAAATTACTGACACTTTAAAAAATAAAATACCTATGTCTAGAAAGAGGTTGTAGAGCTAAATTGAAGACATTCAGGAACTTACTAAGACACTCACAAAAATAAGTCAAAAATGAAATAAGTATCTTAGAATAGGGCTTTTTTTTAACTTTCTGTTATTTCACTTAAAAATGGTTATACAAGTCGGGGTCGCAGCGTTTGTCAATCAGGCCCTTTTAGAAAATTTTACACTATGATAATGTTGTAATTAAGGTAGCTTTATTTTTTTTAAAACGATTCTTGTTTTTCAGTTTTATTACAGTACAGCTAATTGTTACTTGTCATAGTCATTTTAGAGTGCACTTTTGCATTTTAAAATAAAAACGTGTTTTATGAAAGAGTTGTGATATTTTGATTGGATTGTAAAGAAGACATATTCCGATTAAGTATGGAATAAAATATCCGGCTCTGATGACAGGCCATTACTCTTTTCATGAATTTTTCTATGACTTCTGGTTTATTCGCATAAACCCGAGATTTTAGAAAACCCCAAAAAAAAATCGTACGGCGTTAAATCGCACGATTTTGGTGGCCAGTTGACATCAGAATTTCGTGAGATAATGTGTTCTGGAAATCGTTGCTGCAAAAAGTCGATTGTTACAAGCGCGGTGTGGCAGGTGGCGCCGTCCTGCTGAAAACACGTGTTGTCTAGATCCATGAAATCCAGTTAAGGCCACAAGAACTCCGTTATCA